AAATGCAAACGATCAATTAAAATGGTTTTCTAAATGGTCATAGGCCCTCCATCCTCTGGGCTAGAACTAAGAGTGCTATAGAATAAGATAGAATATTTTGATGCAGTGTTTCTCAGCTCATGGGTCTTGACCCTTTATTGATCATGAACGTCAACAGAGAGAATGAGTGCTGAAAGATTTATTACAGTCTAAAGAAAGGAAAATCTTTCTCCCCCCCCAATACATGCGCACTCTTAGGGCCAGTTTCTATCCCATGTATTAGGCACTCAAATGTGATTGTACTCCATCCTGCTGAAGTCACTGACAAAAGTGCATGCATGTATAAGTACCTTGCCATCACTTGACCCTTAGGACTAAATCACTGAAATGCACTGAGGTACAGGAGGACTCGTGCACTTTTTGGACCAATTGTTTCCCAGGATCTCTGACAGCGTGGAATAGGATCTAGGCCCACTTAGGTATATAATGTGTGGAATAGGATCTGGCCTTGACACTTTAAGGCAGCGATGTTCAACCTCTCTGCCCTAACAGGCTGGGGGGTGGAGTGGAGCCAGTGCAAAGTCCAGATCCTATGTTCAGGGTCAGCATGTAGGGTTGGTCCATGGGCGCAATGTGTCATGTCATGTGACCCCCATACACCAACCCAGTCCTGCACACCAGATCCAGTCATGGAAAGACCATAGGCTGGTGTGATCTGATGTATGGGGCCATGCCATTCAGACTGCAGGGCTTCCTCTGGGTCTGGAAATTTGGTGGCAGTGGGGTGGTGGCAACACTGATTGCTGTGGCTCTGTGAGCAATTAGCACTGCTAACTGTTCACCTGCTGCCAAATTTCTGGACCCTTGAGGAGCCCCAGAGGCCAGGTAGCATGGCTCTGTAAGCCAGAAGTTGCACACCACTGCTTTAAAGTCAAGTATGAGAGACTGAAGAGTGAAAAGGACTTCCCAGATCATGGAGTTCAAGCCCCTGAAAACACATAAAAGACTATATTGTGCCACAAGAGCAGGGGAAACAGTACCATGAAGAGCCACCAGCTCAGCCTCTCAAAAAAAGACACATGATACAAGCTCATCATTGTTACTGTGGGTATATATTTACCCTTGTGTGTGTAAGAGTCTCACCCTTTTTTGATTTCACAGAAGAAGTCACCATTAGGAAAAGGGTGAGACGCTGGGATACCGTAGCAAATCAGCCTGAGCTTACTTGCATTGTGACATACAGTGTGGTCCTAGTGATATAAAGCGCTATTCTTTTATTATCCATATCTCGGTACAATAGGGGTGCACAGCATTATAAGAAGCATCATGGGCAGATCTAGGATTTTGAAAAGTGGGGTGTAGATGGTGTGATGCCTCATCACATATAACACAACACATTTTTCTCCAATTAAAAAGAAACGAGAAGCTTTACAAATAAGCTAAGGACTTCAGTTTAAGATTGAAGCAAAAACAAATGCAACTTTATTGGAATGTGCATTACTTTGCTATATTATATACTATATATAAAAAACACAACAAACTAGGCAAAAAAGAATCAAAAGATGTCATTTCATTAATATTGTAGAATTAAACGTACATCTCCTTTTTAGATTTATAAAACAAAATCTAGCTGTTTTGAGCATCTTGACCATGCATCCAGTGTTCACTGAAAATTATTTCCACACCTGAATTAATGTTTCCGTTCTGTGTTAATGTGTTTAGCTAGAGTTAAAAACAGTCTGCAGGACTGTGAAAAAGGAGTTGCATCACTGGGAGCGGCTAACACACTGCAGAATTGCAGATGGAAGGATAGTTTGATTACTGGAATATCAAGACCATTAAAAAGGAGAGAAGGTCCTTAACACCTGTGGTATGAAGAGTTTAGAAGGAATCAGGTGGATTACAATGAGCCATGAAGTCAATCGACTCTATCACTGCTGCCTGAATAGAAATGCTGCTGTAACTACTAGGCAGTTGCTTTTAAACTTTGAGTGGAGCAAGTACCAAAGCAGTTGCACCACTTTACACTCTTCCCTCCTCCCAGATCTGCCCCCTGAGAAACTTGAACAAGGGTACACAAAGGACTTTGAGAACTTCTGTGCCGGCTACCCCCTGACATGGAATAATTCCCACAGTATAATATACTCCTCACACTTATGTCCTAGATGGGATGCTAACATAACTGACCCTAATTTTAGTTTTGATGCATCTGCCCTTTTGGATCTCCAAATTCCCTTGGGTACAGGAGCAATGATCCTACTACCACCTCCCATACCTTCCTGTCTAGAAACAAAGTGCAGTTCCTCTGTTCTTTCTCCCTTGAGACTAAGGGAAGTCCATGTCTTTCACTAGGTCCTTAATGTGCACCTCAGCTGAGCACCGCGATCGCACTGCCTACACATAACAGAGTCTTTGCCTTCCATTCCAGGCTTTGGCGTCTAGTCCTCAGCGAAAAGAAAAGCTACCTGGATATCTGCAGGATCTTGTGAACGGTGTAAAGAAGGAAGAACAAGAAATAAATAAGTCTCCTCCAGACCTGGGGGCAGTTGTCACTATGCTGGATTTGGTTTCAAACATCCCAGCAGAGGCAGAGCCGTCCATAGTGGAGGTAAATTGCAGCTAAATCTTGTAGAAGTTGGCTGATCCTTTGGCCTCTGGGTCAAAGTAGAATTTTTGTTATTTGATTAGCCAGCACCCAAATTGCAGGGAAATTGAAGGAGCCAAAGGGTGGGTAATAGGAAATGGACAAAGATAAGCATGGTGCTGGTTGTTAGTAAAAAGCTGAGCAGAAAAGAATGGCAGGCATCAACAAGAGTCTCACTGGTTTAAGTGGGTACGTAGGTCAGGTGGTTACAAGATGGGGAAATCAGGGTCAAAGATACTGGAGCTAAAAGCCAGGAAGATAGTTAGGAGAAAGGAAAAAGTATAGCAGCATTACAGAGGAAAAGGGGAGAAAACCTGGTTTGGTTGACACCAACTTTGAAAATGAAACAACTGAGGGGAAATATCAATATCTAGGAGTTTAATATGGACTAGACAAAAGAAGAAGATAGGTGAGAATGGTACCCACTTATTGTTACTGGCAATAACAATGACTGTATAGGTCCTGTAGGATTTTATTAAGGTCATCCATCTTTCTTTATTACAGAACTTCCTAACTACAGTAGACATCATTGTTAATAAGTCCACACTAAATTCCTGGAACGAATTGAACCAGCAGGAAACATATAAGAGTTCTCTGTTATTGGAATCAGTGGAGAGATTTTCCCATAGCCTCCAACCAGTCAATAATACTATCCCCCGTATTAGAAACACCAACCTGCAGTTAGAAGGTATAGTTATCCGTGGAGACCACAAGTCACAATATGAAAAGAACTTCACCTTCTCAGGTTCATCAGACCTCAGTGGTAATGTACTAATTAAAGAAGCACAAATTCAGAACATACAACCAAATACAACTATCATCAATATGGCTTACTCAACCCTTGGACAAATTTTGCCCCACCGCAGTAAGACCAATGAGTCTGTGAATGGCCTAGTGATGACGACAACAGTGGGCAGAAACATATCCCAGGGCATTGAGATTATTCTGACATTTGCAAAAAGCAATGTGTCTCTGATTAATCCCAAGTGTGTCTTTTGGGACTTCAAATCAAGACAATGGAACAACACCATCTGTACACCTGAGGAACAGGAGCAGAAGGTCACGTGCACCTGCAAACACCTGACCTCATTTTCAATTCTGATGTCACCCAAAGCAGTGTCCATTGGAGGAAATGCACTAGATTATATTACCTACATAGGTTTGAGCATTTCCATATTGAGCCTGTTGGCCTGTATTTTAATTGAATTCCTGGTATGGAAATTTGTGACAAAAAACAGAACATCTTACATGCGCCACATCTGTATGTTAAACATAGCCACTTCCCTTCTGATTGCAGACATCTGGTTCATTGTCGCAGCCTCCCTCCATGACAACGCGGAGAAAATGAAGGACATCTGCACAGCTGTCACATTTTTCATCCATCTGTTTTACCTCTGTGTCTTTTTCTGGATGCTTGTTCTGGGCCTCATGCTCTTTTACCGTCTGGTCTTCATTTTACATGACACAAGCAAGACCACCCAGAAAGTGGTAGCTTTCTCATTGGGTTATGGGTGCCCTATCATCATATCAGTCATCACCATTGCTGTCACACATCCATATGGTTCTTACAGAAGACAGGGTGCCTGTTGGCTCAACTGGGAGACAAGTAAAGCTCTTTTTGCCTTCGTCATACCTGCACTGATCATTGTGGCTGTGAATTTTATCATTGCCATTGTAGTCATAGGGAAAATCCTGAGGCCAGCTGTTGGTGACAATTCAAGCAACCAGGAGAGGAGCTCCTTCATTCAAGTTGGGAAAAGTATTGGCGTCCTGACACCCCTGTTAGGCCTTACCTGGGGGTTTGGACTTGCAACTGTTATTAAAGACAGCTCAGTGGTGTTCCACGTACTATTCACAGTTTTGAATGCTTTGCAAGTGAGTATTGAAGCTGATTCTTTTTCTTCTTCATTTCACTTTTATTGCATTTATTTTTCTATGACCAAAAATGTTTTGCCTTATTGTGACTGTACCAGGCTAACCCTACATGAACACCCTAGGCAAGTATGGCAATTCATTTGGTAGCAACATTGAGCAAGTGTTCAAGATTCACGACAGGAAATTGAACTAGCCATCTTCTACTGCAATAACCAGGAACAATGGGGCTCTTTGAGAATGTGGTGGCAGCCATAATTGGAAAATTCCTTGTCTCTACTGGTTTCTGTCATTTCTGTGACATGGATGATGGTGACAATGATTATTTATATTACAGTAATGCCTAGGGACTTCAGACAAGGCCTACTCTCTATTGTTTTAGAAGCTGTACAGGCACATATGATGAGGAAGTCAGTTTCTGCCTTAAAAATTTGCTATCTAAATAAGCAATATAGACAGTGTATGAGGAGATATAGTGTAGTACAGTTAAATAGGAGATACATGCATGCATTTAATATAATTCTCATGTTTCATAGGGTTTATTCATTTTGCTCTTTGGAACTGTCTGGGACAAGAAGGTAAGAATTTGAATAACTCCTTATACCCAAGGCAAATATATGATTGTTATTTTAACCAAATACACAAAGTAATTGACTGACTTTATTTGATAAACACAGGTACGAGAAGCCTTGGTGAACAAGTATCCATCAACCAAATGGAGTTCGGAACAGACAAAGGTTAAATCTTCTCTTTAACAATACATTTTGTAGTTATTGTTTTAACCCTGCACTAATCTACATGCATTTCTAAAGAAACATAATTTTTATCTAATTTACTAGAACCTGGCAAATTATTTTTCAATATTCTTAAATTTTTACTTATAGTTTCTCAAAACCAGAGAAAAAAGAGTTCTGAGGAAAAAATATTTTCCTTTAAAAACTGAGGTCAACATTTTGTTGAAAATTCTTAAATTTAAAATTTTGTTCAATTTTTTTTTTAATTAAGGAAAAATCAGTCTGATCTCAACTTTACATACAGACTTCCACAGAAACAAATGGAGAATCTGAGTTTGGGTAAATGCTCATCAACTCAGGAAACAACAGAACTTGTGCTCAACCTGTAACTACTGGGGTTTAGAAGGAGAATTCCCATCCAGGCAGGTTATCACATAAGAGGTTTCTACACTTTCCTCTAAGCAGCTGGTACTGGCGGTCAGAAAAAGGATAACGATGACCCATAAGTCTGATGTAGTATGTTAATTGTTGTGGTTCTGCTATTTGTAAATGTTTTAAAACCATAGAAAAATAGGCAAATAAGAGACAATGGATTTTGTGCATGCAAAAATGAATTGTGTCCATCAAGAGTCCTGACAGACAACAGCTACAGTTGGGAAAACCTGCCAACTATGAGAGCAGCAGCCTCATTAGAGGCCAAGGATGAAATAGCCTTTTACTATACGAGCTAGGACATGCAGGTCAATGTTTAAGACCATTAAAGGATTTTGACACCCAATGTGGAAGTGACACATTATCTAAGCACAAGTGACCACAATTGCAGGGCCAAAAGTGATGCTCAGATACCTTGCCATGGAGGCACCTAAACTCTACCAGTGCTGTACTTAGATGCTTTACATTTCAGTAGGCACCATAGAGCTGTGTCTATGTCTAGGCCTAGAATTGCCCCAGTCTTGGCATAGCTGAGGAGCTCAGCACCCTACTCTTCATCAAGCCCAGTTGGGATCCAGAAATGAGGCATTCCCTTAGCTATGGCTCCTGCAGACCTGATCTGGTTCTCAGAGCACACCTATCATGTACCCCAATGGAAAAATGCACCTGCCGTGGCTTTCAAAAACATGGAGGAGGTGAAGGTGACTTCCTAAAGCATGGAGCACCTGCTCAGGAGGCAGAAAAGATGGTCCACGGCAATGGTCAACATGAGGATGTTTAAACCCATATCTCTCACCCGGATTCCACTCAAGAAGCTGGTGCCTAAGAGTTAGGTGTAGCACCTAACTAGTGGGTTATTGAACATAGCCCTTTGTCAGGGCAACAAGAAGAAATTTGTGCTGTCCCTACCAGTGCTGTACTCAGTGCTACAGGTTTATGGAAAACATCTTCTCAACTACCTGACGCCTTTCACCACATTCCACTTACTCCACAAGTTTTGTAGAGGGTCTACCGGTTTCCTGTTGAGCTGGGAACATTTTCTAACAATTTTCTTAAATGCCATTCTTCCTCTATTGCCTGATGCCCTGCAGCTGCTGGTTGTGTGGCTGTTCTGTTTGGGGGTAAACAGTATTACATCTGAAGCCAATCTAATAAGTCAGTCCAACTTAGAACAGTTACCTTGAGCTACAATTCTACAAGCCACCAATATTGATATGGCAGCACCTTTTCAGTCAGATTACCCTCCTGTATCAAAAATAAGCCGTTTCTCTTTAAAAATAGAGATAAAAATCATTAGGGTTTGGGACCTGATTCTGCACATCTAATTTGGGTACAGTCCCATTGGCCCAAATCCTGAGAACCTTGAACTCTCATTGACATCTGGCAGTTGCCCCTTTTGAGATCTTGGCCCATTTCAATGGGAATGTTGCCTGAGAAAGAGGGAAGAAAAGAAGTAGAATAACCATGCTTCCACTGTTGACTTAAAAATGAATCGTTTATATTCAGCTTCTTCCTTTATCACCTTAAGAATCTGTATTTGAAAGCTAGTGAATTGCATTATTTAACTCCCAGTGCTACAGCCTCAAGAATCCAGGTGAAGAAAGTCCTGCAGAATTTAACGGAGAATGAGGACTTCTCAAAGGAATGCAGAAAATTAATTCTGTTTATAAGGTTTTGCAATAACCTCTATGAACCGAAACAATCTCTATAGAAGTGGATTGTTTTCCATCACTGTAGACTTCTCCGGTATTCCACAAAGGAAATTCCCTTCATTTCCAGCAGTATAGATACACTTCAACCCTATTACAACACCATGAAATTCTCTCCCATCCCCTCTGACAAGTACCAACTTTTTTATAGGTTGCGTTCCCCTGGCCTTTGGTGGGGGGGAATCTTGCACGCTTGCATGCTTGTAATTCTTTCTGACCCAAAGAGGATCTGAATTGCACTGCCGTGCTAATGGGAATTCTGAGCTCAGACACCAGAAGGCCGTTCCCTCTGGCAGGACAGGTCCTGGAGTCTAACCTATTTTTCATATGCACCATTGAAAGGGAGGTTGCTTGTCTCTACATCTTGTATGAGTCATTTGAAGTTATATCTGTGTGCTGCGTTTCACATCCACTGAGATCATCACTATAAATGTACCTGGGGCTGGCTTGGAAGGTGCCCAACAAATGGCAGAGTTGCAGCCCTAATGAATGTTTAAGCCTAAAACACGATTCAGTCAAAAAAGAGCAAGCTGCAAACACAGAGAGAACAATCCCAATCCATATCCTATGCCAATAGGTTGACTTGGACTAGATGCCACCTTGGAGCCACCCACATGCTGCCCCCTCCCACCATTGAAAAGCCTGTTTTTTTTAGGGCACTTCCCAAGTGAATGGATACTGCTCAGTCAGTATGAGAAGAGGGGATTTTAGAGTCAATGTGCCAGCTGTTGGAGCATCTGCTCAAGCTGCTCAGAGGTATAATATTAGCCCTCTCCCTTGCTTCAGTCCATGACTCCATCTTTCTAGCCTAGCCAATGCTTCAATAGAAGAGGGAGTAGTGCCCAAAATGAAGCTCCCTTTATCTAATATGCCCCATGCCTCCATTCATAGGTACATCACTCTCTCACATGCACCACTGAACGGCATTTTATTCAAGCAATTTCTTTTAAAGTATGGTTGTAGAAAATGTCTTTGACTTTTAACTAAAATCGGCTTCCGCTTTACAGTCAACATCCATAGGAATCTCCACACCAGTGTTCTCCATGAAGTCTCCCTTGTCAAAACCATTAAACAACTTACGTGGCAAAACAGGTAAGTGACAATGGCTGTACTTCCCAGCACATATGGCAAAGAGGGTGGAGGAGACCATCCTAACCCTTAGCATCTGATGGAGGGGTTGGTTCTAATCCTTAGGGCCTGCCTAGCTGTCTATATAGGGTGGTCAGCAGACTTGCACAACAGTGTAGACCCTGGACAGAGTTTGATCTACTACAACCAGAGCTCCTTGCAGTCTGGGGGATGCTGCTGCTAAGGCATTGGTTCTGGCTGCTGCAGCTGGGGCATGGATCCCCTACACACTGGCTGCAGCAGCCCTATGCTATGGGCTTTCTGGGGGCTGCCAGTTTGGTGACCTCTCTAAACCAGCACCAGGGCATGGTGCCCCGCTCATGTCCCCCTAGATGCACTACTGGACTTACAGCAGTATCACTGATAGCTGGAGTAGGTTTACGATGCTGTTTTTCATACCCTGGTAGATTAGTTTTATTAACAACTCAGTAATCTCATGGCATAGCGCTCAGAGTGCACCATCTTGGGATGAAGAAGTCTAAACTGTTACTTGAGGATGGTTCTTGTTGCCTGAGACAGGCATTCCTCTCAGGCTGGCTTTTCAGGTGATACTTAAACATATATTCCTCTAAATTTGACTAAGACCACTTTGGTTCCTAGATCATTTTAGCCAACTATTACCAAGAAGCAATAGGGGAGGCTTGGCCTGAGCACAGGAAATGCTCCCTGTTAATTAATCTAAATTAAAAATTATCTTTTATTTTTAGCCACATACTGGGACAAAGCTTAGTCCAGGAATCTGTTCCTGAAGACAATAAGGTTGCCTCAGTGTACAACTGAGAACAGAATTTGGTCTGTATTTTTTTTTTTTTAAGTCAGGGCATGTTTTTTTTTCAAACAAAAATACTTAAAAATTATGCTTCTATCTTCATGTTTAGACAACTCAGTCAGTGGCCTGATTTTCTGAAGAGTTATGTTTCCAGAAACTTCAGGTTTTTTCTGTGAGAGCTGTTGGCTACCTACCAGATTGAAAATCATGTCACTTGCCTACATGCCTAGGTAGCCATAGATTTTAAAGCCAGGAGGCCTTTGTGTCATCTGGACTTACTTAACTATGAATGTGGATTACTTCGGCCTTGGCCTTAGTTTGCAGAGCAAAATTTTAGTTAAAGTCCAGAACTCAGAGTAGGAATCAGGTGTCACCTTCCTTTAGCCAGTTTAAGCTTTCATTGGCAGTATTCATGTATCAGTTCCCCATGTCGTGATGTTATGATCTATGGTATTGCCACAGCCCAGAGACAAGAGGCTTGTTAGAGGATCTCCCAAGTCATCAAGATGGCTAGATGGGCAGGTGTCACAGTCTCCATCTTCTAAGATTAGCAAGTCCAGTGCTCTGCTGTCTGCATGTCCAATTCATTTTGCATTTTTTGCCCCCAGGAAAATACAAAATTTCATCCACAGAAACAGCGAACTTTTCTACTGAAAACACTTCCATGGCCAATTCTTTCTTTCACTGATGTGCTTTAAATGGCAACCTGAGTATCTGTAAAGGGACTCAGGTCCTCTTGGCCAAGCTGAGAACCAAAACAAAACCTATCTGTGAATCGTAGAGAAGTGGACTGTTTCACACAGACCATGTTGCTTGGTGCATTCTTTAAGAAGCATCTTTCTGTCTAACATGTCAGACGTGCAATTCTTCGGGAGACCAACAATGGGAGAAATAATTAAAAAATATTACAACTCTACTGGGCTCCAAGTCTGTAAGTATCTGAGAGCCCTCAGCTTTCCTTACAGTCAATGAGGAGGTGCTCTATGCAGTATTGAGCCGTGCGACTGTGCACAAGACTATAACACTATGTGCACAAGACTTCATGTGGTTTTAATAATTTCTCTTTGCTTAGCTACCTGAATAACTCCAAATGCATGCCTGTAAACACAAATGCTTCATTGCCCTGTAAAAGGACCTGATGGTTTTTATAACTCAGCTCATCTTGGAACCACTGGTTCAAATCCCAAACATTTCAGCTCAATGGACTTGCCCCACTACTCACTTCAATTGACAGATTGATTGAGCACTATAATGGTTCCTGCATGGAAATCTCCCAAATAAAACTAATCTGGTTTTAATTGTTTTGGAAATCCTGAAACCTTCTGTGGTGCTTCAGTGAGAAGACGACAACTTATGTTAAGAGACATTTGACTTCTGTCTTTTACCCCAGTGGCAACTGCATTTCCCCGCACTGTGTATGTAGACAGTTCCATGTTGTACGTCTTTGTGCTTTGGTCTTCCATTGACAAGGAGAGCAGTCCCAAAGTCAGGAGCCTTAAAAAATCAGTCTCAACCAGGAGAGCATGCCAAGTGCCCACAGGATGAAAGCAGCTATTGAAATTATTGCTTTAATTTTGAACTAGCATGCTTTGTTTTAATTTTTTTTCGCAACCACTGAAGATTCGAATGATTTAAGCACAGGCCTGCAAAATAGTCATTGCCAAAAGCTGAAGCGT